AAGAATCGGACCCGTTAAGAAGCAGTTAGAATTCGGGGATACGAGCATTCTGCCACAGTGTTTGCAAATGCTGGGCAATTTGGAAAAATTTTAAATATTCTCATGAATATAACTCTCAAATGCTGATAAAAAAATTCCAAAAAGCATTGCCTTCAAGTTATAAAAAGACCTAACTTTTGGTTGGATATCATACAAAAATAACAGGGTTTTATTCAGGTTATTGTAGAATCCAGGGACTTTTTTGCTCCAGTTTCTAACAATTCTTTTCAAACAAATTTTACGTTTCCAACGTAATTAATTTTTTTACTAGGATTAGGTGAACAGGTTAAATTTTAGAATGAAAAAAAAACAAGTTTTATCTGAAATAAATCGACAAAAAACATATGGAACCAAACAAGTGAGTTGTAATGGTTGATAGTTTTACCCTCTATTGGTAACTGTCCTAGGAGACATACAAAACATATGATAACTTTAGGCTTTTACCTCTAATTCTGAGGGACTCAAACGTTCAAACAGGCTGGGGTTAAAATTGAGAGCCTTTTTGAAACGATGTTTAGCTGAAAACAGTGAAATTCGTGTTTAAGATCTGCAGTTATACGATTATAAACTTCGCACAAATTTTTCAAACACAGCCATTATTCCAATTAAAACCTTATCGAAATCTTTGAAATCTCTCGTAGTAACGACAGTTTCGCAAGCAGCCTCGTTTATTAAGACCTTCCTGAATTTTGATCTGTTCATTTTCTGTTAAGTTCAAAGGAACCTATTTAACTGAGGTTTTGCTATCTTAAAATAAACAAGACTGCTCGTATCAGGGTAAGCCCTGAATGTCCCGACTGTCTTTTAAGGTTTATCGAGCACGTTTATGGTCGAAAGTGGCTAGTTAAAAAGTCGAAATTTGTCTGAAGAAAAAAACCCACTCGAGCACAAATCTTCCGTTACTTTCGTATCGAAAGTCAGAACAATAAATGTTTAAATCAGAGAAATAAATGTGTCTGTAAATTAATGAAAGAAAGCACAGACTATCACAATCACATAATGGGTTTTCATTGGTAGGAAGTTTCTCTCTAACTGAGCGACACTCTTAAGAGACAATTTTTTAGTTAAAATAAAAATTTGGCTGGGTTTCAAGACGAAAACATTTCTTATTTTATATATTTTTCTCTCTCCAAACTTTTCCACTTCTCGTCGTATGACCAATTGAGAAATATCAGATGAGACAATGAATCGAAAACAACAAATGATCTCTATCAGAAAGTTTTTGCAGACAAAATGTCGTTCAACACTTCATTTAGCAAACTTGAAAGAAAGTTTTCTTGAAACTACAGTTAACGTCAATGTGATAGTGTTCTTCTCAAAAACCGGCTTTTGAAAAAAGAAAGATTTTTTTCATATAGAACAACAAAATTCAATTTGTTCACTTTGTTGTTCCAAAGTAAATAAAAAAATGGGTTGGTTTTTTTCTTCATACCAATTTTAAAGACAAAGTAATATTTTTATATAATGAAAAATATTTGAACTCCTTGATTTCAAATTCAAAAAACAATAACCTACAATTACAAGACTTTAGGGGTTTAAAAAGGCTGAACTTGAACGATTCCGCACTAATTCATGCGAATTTTAGTGAATCAAACAACTTTTAAATAAAATATAATCGAGTTAGGGAATTGTCGCACTTCGTAGCTTTGCCTTCATGTACAAACAGTCTCGCCACACATATTGCTTACTGATGAAAAAAATCGACACTTTTCCTTGCTCCAAAGTAAACCAATGCCTTTATTGCTCCAATTTCTAAATTTTCAGTCTGAAACTTTGTTTAAAATCATCGATTTACTTACGCAAATACTTGTTTGCTATGTTAAAAAGATTATTTTTTAATACAAAAAAACTGTGTCTGAAACGAATTAAAAGAAGAATATGGTATAATGCGACGGAGTTTTCTTTGTTAATCTCACTATCTTCAATGAGTTATACTCCTTAGAAACAAATATATACAGTGTTGACTTAGTTTAACTGTTTAAAAACAATCAAATGTTTTGAAGCTTGAGAACTTGAAAGACTGTTTTCTCAACATGGGTTAAGATTAGACAAAAAGCAAAAGGAACAAAAATGCTTCAATTTTCAACCGAATTAATATGTTGCATTTTTTTCTTTCAAAAGTTTCAATCCAACTTGCTAAATCTAAGCTGAATCTTCCGAGTTAATTGATAGAAAATTATTTCAACGAAGCCCCTTAAACAGGACAACAAATTTTTAGAGGGGTGGAACTTTCAAACATCTGTATAAGAGCATAAGTTTTTTGTTGACAGCCAAAAAGGGTCATTTTTAATTTAAAAACTTTAAAAGATTTTCCTAGAAACTTCAAACGTCCTACGCAAACTACTAGAAAATTTACCCTGGAGGTTGATGCGTATATATAATAATTAGATAAAAGTTGGATAAGACATAAAAAATTAACAGCGGATTCTGCTACAGTGCTGATTTAAATTATCCGGATAAAATGAACAAAACTTGAACTTTCATACACGTTTTTCCCAAATTGGGTTAGACAAAAAATGAAGACAATAAAAAATTGCTTAGAATTTCATCAGAATTACTATGGTGCAATTTATTCTCCAAAATTCTCAACCAATATTTTACCCCAAAAATGGCTCATTTTGGCTTTTTCCCATTAACCAAAAATTACGCTGAAACTGCTCTGTTAATTGCTCAGTATTCTATATCACAAAAAGCATCTTACACAGCCCATTAAAGTTCTAGAAGAGTTTTATCTCCAAACACCTGTAAAAGAGGAAATTTTTTTGCTTTTTAGTCAACAAATGTGATTTTTTTGTGATTTTTACTATAAAAATCCCAAAAGGTTTGCTTAAAATCAGATTTTAAGCAATTTACTTAAATTTGTGGAGATTTAAATTTTCTGTAACTTTGTTGGGCTGGGTAATGAGAGGCTTCTTGTGACATAGCTTACTCATCTATTAACAAAGCAGTTTCAGCGTAATTTTTGATTAAGGGAAAATGAGCCATTTTTGGGGTAAAATATCGGTTGAGAATTTCCCAGATAAAATTGCATCATACTCATTCTGATGACATTCTAAGCAATTTTCATTATCTTCGATTTTTGTCTAATCTCAACCCAAATTTTAAAAAATGCGTTTGAAAATTCAAAATTTATTCGTTTTAAATCAGCACTGTACTTTGAGCACTTACTGCATGCAAAGTTGAATTTTACAATAACTTGAGTCATATAATTAGTAGCAAAAAAATTCGGACAGACAAAATTAATTAAAATGAGCAATCAATGCTTTTCGACGCTTTTTTGCGGGCAAAATCTGAAGCCGAAAAAACTTGAATTTTTTGTCAGACCAAAATCAAAATGCGAGATTGTCGATTATCCGATGATTAACATCCAGATTTTACTGTAAAACATTTCGACGCTTCGGGTGCAATTGCCCGTCGTGGTTATAGGTTTTGAGCGAAACTCGAATCTACTTAACAACCCCCCCCCCCCTCCCCCTATTGTTACTATAAAAAATCTCCAGCCCTGTAGATAAAAACAGTAAATTCGCACTGCATTGTATTTAAATTCGAGTTTTTCTGCATTATGATTGGTCGAAAGTTCGCTGCAAGTAATTTTATTACCGATCTCCTCCCCTATCTTGAAAGGGGGATTGTTAGGTATAGAGAGTTGCAAAAAGTTCAGACAGACAGAATTAATTAAAAAGAGCAGCAACTGTCCAGACACCTCGGAAATTAAAAAAGAAATAAACAAAATGTCCAAAGTTCATAAAGCTCATTGAGTAGAGTTACGGGATCTACTTAACAATCCCCCTTTCAAGAAAGGGGAGAATATCGTTAATAAGATTTTTTGGTTATTTTCGAATTGTCCTCGTAGTATTTTTGAGCGTTTTTAGAACACAATTTAATCACAATGCTAGTGGGAAATTCCGCTGATTCTAGGAATATTTGGATGTACTTAACAATCTCCCCTTTTCAAGAAAAGGGGGGGATTGTCAAGTAGATCCGAGTTTCGCTCAAAACCTATAACCACGGCGGGTAATTGCATCCGAAGCAACGAAATGTTTTATAGAAAAACCTGGATGTTAGTCGCAGTATTTAAAAATTAGGCTAGCATAATCATCGGATAATCGACAATCTTGCATTTCGAAAATGATCTGACAAAAAATTCAAAGTTGTCCGGTTTCAGTTTTTGCATGCAAAAAAGCGTTGAAAAGCACTGATTGCTCATTTTAATTAATTCTGTCTGTCCGAATTTTTTGCTACTAATTATAGATCCCGTAACTCAGATTTATGAAATTTCGACGTTGTGTTTGTTTCAGTTTTAGTTTCCGTTGATCTCTAGACAGTTGCTTTTTTAAATTAATTCTGTCTGTCCGAACTGTTTACAACTCTCTATATATAGAGAATTGCAAAAAGTTCAAACAGACAGAATTAATTAAAAAGAGCAACTGTCTAGACATCAAACGGAAACTAAAACCTAAATAAACACAACGTCGAAAGTTCATAAAGCAGAGTTACGGGATCTACTTAACAATCCTCTTTTCAAGAAAGGGGAGGGGATCGTTCATAAGATGACTTGCAGCGAAATTTTCACCAATCTGAATGCAGCAAAATTTGAATTTACATACAATGCTCCAGTGCGAATTTACAGTTTTTATTTACAGGGCTGGAGATTGTTAAGTAAATCCAAGTTTCGCTCAAAACCTATAACCACGGCGCGCAATTGCATCCGAAGCGTCGAACTTTTGTTACCTTATAATATGGATGTTCATCGCAGTATTTAAAAGTTAGGCTAGCATAATCATCGGATAATCGACGATCTCGCATTTTGAATTCGGTCTGACGAAAAATTCAAGGTTTTTCGGCTTCAGATTTTGCATGCAAAAAAGCGTCGAAAAAAACTGATTGCTCATTTTAATTAATTCAGTCTGTTCAAACTTTTTGCAACTCTCTATACCACTTTGTTCATACGAGTGGTCAATTGTCCTCGCCTCGTCTCGTTCTGAAAAGTATCTGTGGAACCTACAGAGAATTGCAAAAAGTTGGAACAGACTACTTTAGGTAGTCTAAGAATAAAGTTTTTATGCTGAAAAAAAAATATTTCAGATTTTCATACGCAGAAGCTATTTTTTTGACAAACTAGACTCATGGTCATCTAAAAACTCAAGTTAGGTTTCAATAAATCCTTAAAAAGGCATATTGCTCTGTTTAATAGCAAAATTGATAGATCGCTTTGTTAAATAGCTCTAAGCTACCTGTTAAATAACTGTTTAATAGCTTTAAAGAAACTCTTTTAAATAATTTGCTCCAATTTTTTGCTTCCAAGAGGGTGCAGTTGAAGCTGGCAAAATGGCAGCAACACTAATCAAACTCTTGATTTTATTGATTTCTGCGCGGACTTGCAAGGGGCAAGGTTGGACCGAAGACCCATTCGATATATTTGGAGGATGGCTGGGAAGCAGCGGAATCCCAAATCCAGGGCCAGCCCCTTCACCTCTCAGAAACAAGAATAATTGCGTTGACGAAGACGATTTCTGTCATCAATACAAGGCTGGAGGTCACTGTCAGCCTCAAAGTCTATTTTCTCGGTTCATGAACGAGAACTGCAAGTTGACTTGTGGGTTTTGCAGACCCACAAGAAGCAGAGATGGAGGCACAGGTAACGGAGGCGCTGGAAATGGTGGGAATAGCAACGGGGGAACTGGTGGTACCGGAAATGGAGGCGCTGGAAATGGTGGGAATAGCAATTGGGGAACTGGTGGTACCGGAAACGGAGGCGCTGGAAATGGTGGGAATAGTAACGGGGGAACTGGTGGTACCGGAAACGGAGGTGCTGGAAATGGTGGGAATAGCAACAGGGGAACTGGTGGTACCGGAAATGGAGGCACTGGAAATGGTTGGAATAGCAACAGGGAAACTGGTGGTACCGGAAATGGAGGCGCTGGAAATGGTGGGAATAGCAACAGGGGAACTGGTGGTACCGGAAATGGAGGCGCTGGAAATGGTGGGAATAGCAACAGGGGAACTGGTGGTACCGGAAATGGAGGCGCTGGAAATGGTGGGAATAGCAACGGGGGAACTGGAGGTACCGGAAACGGAGGCGCTGGAAATGGTGGGAATAGCAACAGGGGAACTGGTGGTACCGGGAATGGAGGCGCTGGAAATGGTGGGAATAGCAATGGGGGAACTGGTGGCACCGGAAATGGAGGCGCTGGAAATGGTGGGAATAGCAACGGGGGAACTGGTGGTACCGGAAACGGAGGCACTGGAAATGGTGGTAATAGCAACTGGGACTGGGGAACTGGGGGTACCGGAAACGGAGGCGCTGGAAATGGTGGGAATAGCAACGGGGGAACTGGAGGTACCGGAAATGGAGGCGCTGGAAATGGTGGGAATAGCAACAGGGGAACTGGAGGTACCGGAAACGGAGGCGCTGGAAATGGTGGGAATAGCAACAGGGGAACTGGAGGTACCGGAAATGGAGGCGCTGGAAATGGTGGGAATAGCAACAGGGGAACTGGAGGTACCGGAAACGGAGGCGCTGGAAATGGTGGGAATAGCAACAGGGGAACTGGTGGTACCGGGAATGGAGGCGCTGGAAATGGTGGGAATAGCAATGGGGGAACTGGTGGCACCGGAAATGGAGGCGCTGGAAATGGTGGGAATAGCAACGGGGGAACTGGTGGTACCGGAAACGGAGGCACTGGAAATGGTGGTAATAGCAACTGGGACTGGGGAACTGGGGGTACCGGAAACGGAGGCGCTGGAAATGGTGGGAATAGCAACGGGGGAACTGGTGGTACCGGAAATGGAGGCGCTGGAAACGGTGGGAATAGTAACGGGGGAACTGGTGGTACCGGAAACGGAGGCGCTGGAAATGGTGGGAATAGCAATTGGGGAACTGGTGGTACCGGAAACGGAGGCGCTGGAAATGGTGGGAATAGCAACGGGGGAACTGGTGGTACCGGAAATGGAGGCGCTGGAAATGGTGGGAATAGCAACGGGGGAACTGGAGGTACCGGAAATGGAGGCGCTGGAAATGGTGGGAATAGCAACAGGGGAACTGGAGGTACCGGAAACGGAGGCGCTGGAAATGGTGGGAATAGCAACTGGGACTGGGGAACTGGGGGTACCGGAAATGGAGGCGCTGGAAATGGTGGGAATAGCAACAGGGGAACTGGGGGTACCGGAAATGGAGGCGCTGGAAATGGTGGGAATAGCAACGGGGGAACTGGTGGAACCGGAAATGGAGGCGCTGGAAATGGAGGAGCTGGAAATGGAGGGTCTGGGTTCTGGGTTAGTGGTGGATTTGACCGACAATGCATAGACGAAGATGAGTATTGCGACCAATATGCTGACCGAGGTCTTTGTCACCCATGGAATCAATACTATGAATTTATGCAAAGTAGTTGCAGGCTGTCATGTGCATTTTGCTAAAGCAGAATTCGGATCAATGAATCAACTACTACTTGAATGAAGTTGATTGGCATGTTAGCAAAACTAGCTTATTTAAACTTTTGAAGATGCAGATAAACTTTAAACATATCAGCACTTAATAAGAAATCTGATGACGTTATAATTACACCGGCTTGATGTATTTGAATATTGATGTATGAAAAATGAATACAGTTTTTGAACAACACTTGTCTGAGCAAGAACTTCTATGAAAAGATTGTAGGATTCGATAAGAATTTAGTATCTGTTAATGTTTGATTAATAATCAAAACAGTGATGAGTATAATTAGTCGCAAAAAGTTCGGACAGACAAAAATGATGAAAAAAAGAGCAAATTACCTTTTTCAGACAATTTTTGCATTCAAAAGCTAATTTTTCAGACAGAAAGTATGTCTCAATGTCACTTAAAAAATTAAATTTGCTTGCAAAAATTCCTCCAAATTGGCGGATTGCTCTTTTTATTTATTTCTGTCTGTCCGAACTTTTTGCAACTCTCTAAAATAATTATAGGACCAAAAATCTTCCATTAGTTTGATTCGGAACGATATCGGAACTGGCCATAATTACTTTGCGTGGCAAAATGATCGAAACACAACCTAAGTTTTCAAAAAATAAGCACAATATATTTTTTTTTTGCTAATAAATTCAAATATATCGACAATGCTGAGAAGTGAAAGCAAAAAAAGCGGTCTGCCATGTAATGAACTACCTCATATTGGTTCAGAAAAGAAAACTTGAACAAAATGTTGCTTTTTGTCAGCCATAGTTTACAGCAGTTCGAGTAAAGTTGAGTCCGTTCTGAGAACTGATAAGACAAAATAGCTTCCTCGGTTTGATTAGGATTTTTTTAGTGTGCAGTAAAGTTCGCCCACAACTTTACTGCGTAATTTTTATAGTATCAAATGTAAAATTTACCGCAGAGGGCGTCCAGTTGATCTCATCTAGTTCCGTTTTTTGAAGCTAGTGACAAAATATTTGCGCTCGGGTTGGTTTTTCTCCAGACTTTCTATTTAGCAATTTTCGACGGAGCTTTTTTAATATAATTTGAAAGATAGTGTTGTTCTCAGCTCAAATGTAAAAGGTTATTTTAACAGTGATTTTTTTCGTTAAATATAGGGGGTTGCAAATTGCTAATTTAGCCCATTTGCGATGAATATTCGATACCGGTAGTAGTGTTAATTAAAAGTTGGCCATTGGACAAGTTTACATTTTTTACAATTTAAAGATCCTGAGGAGAATTAATTAAACTACGATGAAGAACTAAAAATTGTCACAAAGCAGTATTTGAGTTTATAACTAAAAACCCGAAGAAATACATATAGAATTAAAAAGATCAGTTCTGTTGTGTATTAAGTTGCAAACTGAAAGAGTCGAGTTAATGACTTTTAGAACAAAAGCAATAAAGTGATTACGTAACCTTGCGTAATTGGAATTTTCCGATTTTGAGCCGATAGCCTTATACTTCAATTTTCTACTACCCCTACTATCCGACAGATTTATCACTTTGTAGATTTTATTGATTGTAGCAACCATAAAATCTTCGTCGTAATATGATGGGGGGATTGCTATTCCTGAGGAAATTTTTAAAATTAAATAGCTGAACCCTATATCTTTCCCTGCCAGCTGATTTATTGTGAAATTGAAAGGTAAAAGACGAACGACCCATCTCGTTAAACGACTATGATAAGTTTCTTTTCCGTGGTTAGGTGAATGTGCTGAAATAAGAGCCTCATGGTCCGCAATGATTTCAAACTCCGAGCCGGAATGGTAATTCGTATTTTGCTTGACCGCCCAAACGACTACCAAAAGTTCCAAATCGTTTGTGGAATAATTAGATTCATGCGGATTTTTAAATTTTGCAGCAAACGAAACTGTTTTCCATTCATTTCCGTGCATTTATTCTAATGAGGATTCAAAACCGCTATGGGATGCGTCTGTGTTTACTTTCGTAGTAAGTCTTTCATCAAAATGTGTATTTTTGGTAAGCTTTACTATTTCTTCTTTTATCTTCTCGAATGCTTTGCAAGTCCTTCATTCCAGAAAAAAATTGAATCCTTATTTAGCAACAGTCTTAAAGGACCTCCCAGGGATGCTATATTTGTAACAAGCTTAAAATATATAATTGTCGAACCGAAGAATGATCTTAGTTCCTTAAGATTTTTTGGAATTGGTTTGTCTTTAATGGCTTTAATTTTGTCGACTAATGGTGCGATTCCCGATATGGATATTTTGATTCTGAACCCTCCTATTTTTTTGAAAGATTTTAAAATTTGACCATTTGACGGCAAAACTTTAATCGTCTGAAACCGATAAAATTTTGTAAACGATATTCTTGTGTTCTGTAAAATTTCCTTTGGAAGCCACAACAACTTCGCTGAGATAGCAGTTAGTAAAAGGAACGTATCCGATTGTTGAGTCCACGATTCTCTGGAATTAATTCGCCATGTAGCCAAGTCCGTAAGAATTGGGCAAAATTTGGTATGTGCCGGTTATCTACCCATCTACCAATCTGAAGTTACACTGACTCCTAGTGAAATTGTCTAGAGAGAGTTGGCTATACGCGTTCTTCAAGTCCAGGTTGGTAAACCAGACTTCTCCGGTGAAATCGTTCGAATTTTATGATGCGACAATATCAACTAGTTTGTGTATGTTTGGAATTTGGTAATTGTTCTTGTAAAGCTGTTTGTTAAAAAATTTTGGATCGAGTGCTACTTCTATCGATTTGTCCTTTTTGCAAGTAATAACAATTGGACTAAAAAGTCTATTTTCATCGCAATTTTTTAGCTTTTCTTGTGTCCTTGGGATTTAAGTCGATCTGATTCCGCTTTTACTGCATCAAGTAGAAAAAAGGGGATCATGTCTACTTTTCCGTTGAATTGGTTTCAGTGATTCGTGAAAGTGAGTAATTTTTGTTTAAAAGTTTTTTTTTCAATCCGAAAGAATAACTGCTTAAAAGTCTTGGTTACAAGATCTATCTCGTTTTTTTTTCGTTCAGGGAAAAAAAGGATAGATTTACGGGTCTTTATGGTCTGGTAGCGTGGAAAGTGTTTCTGAGAGACTTCGATTTCCACTTTTGGCAGATTGTCATTTCCTAGAATATTTTTCTCGTTGCCTTCTGTTAGGAAAAAATGATATTCATTGTGGAATTATCCAGTGGAGAAGATGGGGATGATCAGTATTCCAGTGATGTTTACCGCGTTGTCAGTGAATCCACAATTTAGGTCCTAGGTCGATTGGTACAACGGATAGATCTTCAAGTACGGGTCTCCTAGTTTTAATTAATGAAAAACGTATCTCTTGAGGAAGCTCACGGGACTGGCGGAGTCGACTCGGATATTGAGGAAAACTTGGTTTTTCTTTTTCGAGTCCGAGGTTTAAGATTTTCTTGGGTTCTTTCCCTTGCTTGTTGTAAATAGTTTTTACATTTATTACAGGGCAATCATCGATGTCGCCATGTCCGGATTCGCATGTCCGGACTCCACAGCACTCTCTATTTACACGGTCGTTTGTTACATCCGATTATTTCGATGGATAAATACATCTGTTTTATGTACAGTTTGATTATCTCTTGTATTTACAGTTTTACGGCGGGATTTAAAAAGTCGGGTAAATGTTCTCTATGTTTACAAAAAGTACAAGTTATGTCTTTTGCTGCACACGCCACCATGTGTCCTTAGGATAATGTGCCGTCGCATTTCATATAAATGTTGCTCCGTTTAATGTTTAAAGTTGGTAATCTTTTCACATTAAATGTATCAAAAGGTTTATTTACAGAAGGTCCGTTGTATTTAAAAGTATTTGTACTTTTCATATGGTTCATTTTTCTTTTTTTGTGGGTTAATGCCACGTTCAGTACTTCTAGGGATGGAAGAGTTTCCGTGAGAAGTTTCCGTTGGATGTCCGAGTTCTTCATTTTATTAATAAAAATTTCTCTTATCCATTCGTCTTCTCTTGCGGAAAGGTCGCATTTCTTAGCCATTTTGGCAAGAGCTCCCCAGAGTTGTTCCAGTGATTCTCAATCTCTCTGTTTCCCGTTTAAGAGTTATGATTTTGGAATGAAACATTCGCCTTCCTCACGAAAGCTACGTAAAAATTTTCCAAGAATTTTTTGATGGAGATTTACAGACTTTTCACTCGTGTAAATTTTTGGCCGAAAATATTTTTCCTTCGTGTCCAAGAGCATAAAAAAATGATCGAAGTTTCCTATCTGCTTCTTCGATTCTCATGCCGTTGAACCCTTTCGTTTCCGCCTTTATCTATACTGATTCTTCGTCTTCGAATCTCTTTTACTGTCGGAGACTTCTGTCTTAGCAAGATTTTTTTGTTTCCGTTTCGCTATCGGGTGGATGTTCTAATTTTGTGGTTGTGGAGGATATCTTTCTATCGGGTTCAGTAGAATTTTTTAAATAAATATTCTTCTTTGCTATCACTGCTTTTTGGAAAAGATCGTCCACTCTTCCAATGGAATTGGTGGGTCCACCGTATGGTTTTGCCAAAAAGAAGGCATGCCTCTCACGTTGGTTTCGTTTTTGTTTGTTTGCGCCTTGATAAATTGTTTCTTTGTTACAGCTAATTCTACTCATGTACAGATTAAATGCTAAGTTAAAAAATGAATTATTCTCAAAGTTAAAGCCTTAAAAAGTGAGCAAGCATTCTCTCCGCCGGAGAGAATGAATATATCAAGGTCAAAAAATCAATACCAGTTAAAACAAATTGCAGTTAGTTATAATGGTACGATAAAAATACTGCGATTCACAACAATTTTGTCGAGTTTTTTTTACAGGCGACAAAATTGATTTTCTGAGCGCTCCTAAACAATTGTAAAGACCTCATTTTGACCAAAATTTTTAAACCGCAGTCATTTTTTTGAAAAAAAAACAGGCGTTTTTTGGAAATTTGTGAACAAAAATTTGCGCTTTTTCGGCGCGCGCTCTCACCTCAAAATTAGTTTTACTGGCGCCAAAGGCGCCTTCAGAAAAATGTGAAAAATATCAGTCACCAACAAATGTAAATCACAAAATTGTACAAAGGGGGGACCCTTTGGGTCGGCAGGGGGTCGAATTCCTGAGGGGGAGGGGCATCGGGCCCCCGCCCCACCCTCAAATTCGCTGGTGCACTTGATATAAAGTAAATGGAATTTTTTATATGAAAAAAACTAATTCAGCTTT